CCAGCCCCAATGCATTGCACCGCACTGTGGCAGACTGCTGTAGCTGCTGCAGTTGTTGCAACAACATTTTGTTGTAGTTGTTGTCGCCTGCAGTCTGGCAAAATTTTTGCCATTTGATTGCATTTTGTTGGGCGGCCTTTTTGTGTAGAGTTTGTTGCACTTCAGCCTGGAGTTAGGTGTTGTTGCACAAGCACACAGCTGCAGTGTTGCAAGCACACACACACACACAGAGACAGAGAGACAGGGAGAGTGAGAGAGAGAGAGACTCGAGTGTGCAGGCGGTGAACAGCCCAATGGATGTTCGATAGGCCTTAGGATACTACAAAACTTCTACATACGCATACATAATTACATACATAAATACATATTTACATATGTGCTTACATTTATGCAGGTTTGTGTGTGTGTGTGTGTGTGTGGCCTTATGTAAGGGGCTTTTTTAATATGTATAAATTGTGCACATAAATTGTGTTATGTACATATTTTATTCAGCCTATGTGGCAGGCTTTTTTAGTTTGATTTGCCCTGCCCGCCCGCCTGCCTGTCGTTGTGCTAAAAATAATAACAAAATGGCAGCCGTTTGCGTGTACAGTTGCGTGCAAAAGGTCTGCATTTTGTGTAGTTTCGTGTAGCATACTTTGCTGCTGCACAAGTAACACACTTTCACAGGACTCGCACCACTGCTGCACTCCAGCCTAAAACTCAGAAGTAAAGTTCATTCCACCCAACCAGCCACAGGCACAGGCGCAGGCACATCCATCTATGCATCTATCCATCCATCTATGCAGCCAGGCAACACCGCAATTTGTGGGTGCTTTTTTCGCGTGACACACACACACACACACAAACAGGGAACCCCCCAACCACCAGACATATCCTCCTCAGAAGCCTGCCCTCTCCGGACTCTCGTCCGGTCTGTGGCGACTGTGCCGAGTGGTTTGTTTAGAATTTTAGATTTTAGCGCGTTTTAGAAATTTTATGAATGAATTTCGGCGCTCGGCAGAGCACTCCTCTGCCTGCCAGCAGCCAGGAGGATTCTATCTGGTAGATGGTAGCTGGTGTGCCGCCCACTCCACTGCGTTTCACTTTTAGTTTTTGGTTAGTTTTTCGGTACCCCATACATATGTTTAGTGGCAAGGGGAAGGTGTGGTGCCGTTGCCGTTGCCGTTGCCGTGCCTCGGTGTGACCTTGCCACTGCCACAGAGCTACGGCAACAGCTACAGCTAGTGCTGTGGGCTCGTCGTTGTTGTTTAGATTTAGTTACTATCGGGTTGCACTTCAGTTGGTCCATTTTTGTAGTTGGCACAAATCCGCATTGTATGTGTGTACCCCCATCGTGTACATGTGCAAGGATGCCCTCAGAGCAAAGGACCAGAGACGGTTTCTAGTTTTCGTTTCGTTTCGTTACGTTTCGTGTTCTGTTTTTTCTTTACACACGAATATCGATTTCTGCTGCCAATTGAAGTGCATTTTGTCGCTCTAACAAACTTAAAGTTAGCAAAGGAGAAGTGCAATTTTGGAGGCATTTAAATGGCTGTAAGAGAACATTAAGTTGGGGTGTTGGGGAATTAACAAACGTGGAAAAAATAACCCAAGCTTTCGGCAGTTTTTAGTGCTTCTTAACAGAGAAATATTCAATGATTTTAAGCGGTTTATTCTTCAATATTTCAGCGCATTATTTGCACCATAAAGGGAAGTTCGAGCAAGGAATAGCAAAGCAAAAATAAATACACGCCCAATAAATATTCTAAAATACACTAGAATAAATGGTATAGGTATTTCTGCATATTTAATGTTAGTAACAAAGCCTTCAAATAATTAATTTTACATATTTAATGTTTCTAGAAAAGCCAGAATAAATATTTCCCTTTGAGGGCACCGCCTGATCATAATTATTATGCAAATTTCGAAGGCCATCAAACCTGCATTTTATAGTCCGTTTTCCTTGTCAGGGAATTCGAACTTTGAGCAAACTTAATTGAATTTTCAAATTTAATAGGCATGCAAAATTAAATTGCACATAAAAAGCGAGTTTCCGCACAACGTCCACGAATAGATAGCCGCTGCAATGTTCAAATAAGTTTTACATAGAGAATAGGCTGTACATAAAGAATACATACATATGTATGTATGCATGTGTATAGAGCGCTTTTATATACTTTAATGATTTACGTTAGTTTTGATGCAGGGAAAAATTGCTTGTAAAAGTGCTGTTGAAAAAACTGTTGCATACCTGCCGGCGCGCGCTCAAATTAACTAACGGCACAAAGCAGATCTAGAGAGAGCGAGTGAGAGAGAGAGAGAGAGCGATAGCAATGGAGAGCAAGCGCCGGCTACAAAGAGCACAAGAGAGTCCGGCCGAGTGTGTGGAGCCGAACCGTAAGCCGAAGGGAGCACTAAGCCAGCGAGAGGACAAACACAAAAGCGAAAGCGAGGAGTTCGACGCCATAGTGCGTGCATCCCTCTATGTGTGTGTGTGTGTGTGTGTGTGTGTCTGTAGGGGGATGCCGCTTTGTCGGCAATTTAAAGAGTAAATAATTGTCTGCCGCCGGCAAACGTTTGTCCAAACTGTTAGCAGACATCGGGCTCTGTATCGGCATCGGTATAGGTATCGTATTGGGCTTCGGCCCCATCCCTACCATCCACAGTCATCAGAAAACTCTGCACAGTTTTAGGCGCCAGGGCCATCAACAGAGGCTGTGGCTGGAGACCGGCTCCCGCTCTGGACGACACAGACGAACGCACTTTCAATCAGTTTACGTTTCAGCGTCAGCGGCAACACTACGTCATCGAGTCGAACAATTTCCCATCCGTCCGGCATCGGCCACCCAAACCAAATCGTGTGCGGCATCCACACACTGCACTTGTGTGTCTGTGTTCACTTTATCTGTGGTCCTGTCTGCCCGCCTTCAGATTGCGTCGCGTTTTTACTTTCACGCGGAAAAATACGCTCTCTACGAGCTGAAACGTGTCTTCGGATTCTTTAGCCCAGCCATGGAGGCCTGACATGTGCACGGAGTGGTGTGGTGCACAGCAATAGAGTCCTGTGAGTATGTTTTGTGAGCTCTTTAAGGTGCTGGCAATTGAATCGAGGCATAGAACGAAGCAGAAGTAAAATCAAAGTACAAAGCTTGACGCCCCAAAAAGCATTTGGGGATTATCATTCATTGAATTTTCATTGCAAGGGAAAATTGTTAGAATTTGTCGTTGAATAGTCTCTGGCAAAAATATTAGTAAATGTAAATGTTTACATATTAATCGTTGCATAAAAACAAACCTTTCTTGTCCCTGAGTTTTCCTGAACTGAATTCAAATAACTGAAGTTATATTTAAAGTTTTCTCTCATTTCTTGAACTTGTGTATTCAATTTTTGTTTTGGTTTTGGTATTTATGCTTCTGCTTTTAGTCTTTAGTTCCTTAGTTCCTTAGTTAATTCCACACAATAAAAGATACTTATATTGAAAATTAACCACTGACAGAGCAAGTTATCTATTATTTAGAATATTTATTGATATTTATTTGATTATTTATCAAACCTCTTTGCTGGCCATGAGCCTGACCCAACGTTACTGCAAATACTCGTAAACTTGTCTCACATTTTAAATGAGACTGGCAAGGCGCGTAAACAGTCAGGCAATAAATCAGCCTTTAATGTACTTGCATCGAAATGTGGATTTAGCACCGACAACGTCATCGACATCCTGTGACCGCGTTTCCGAATTTATCCCGAAACTTGTGTACGTGCGTGCGTCGGCCCCGAAAATCGCTGCACAGACGGGTCATGGCCACGGCCACGGGCACGACCACGACCACGGCCACGGCCACGAATATGGCATTTTGGCGATGGATGCCTCGCCTCCGATTGCCTCCGACTTTCACTTTCACAGCGCACACACAGTCTGCGGCTCTCCCGGGTAGGAGCCAAACGGCGGGCGCGACTTGCACTCAGCCTCACAGTTCGTCTTTGCCAAAGCGCCCCCCAAAAAGGGGTAGTCCAGGCTCGGCACTACACGGCCCACTCGACCTGCCAATGACAATGACGTCGTTGCTGCACAGTGGAATGCGTTTCGAAGTGTGGAAAAGTGCATTAAAAAAATAAGTTTGACCCTTAAATAGAACCCTAAAATATGGGTATTCCTGGCTAGAAAAAGTCACTGTAGCCACAGAAATGTTGCACCTCAAAATGCCATTCTCGACCATGGTGCACTCCACCACTTGTAACACATTCGAATGCGGCGGGGGCCAGTGAGATTGTTGGCGGGTTGACCAGCAGAATGCGGCGCGGGTGACTTGCTGCTGCATGTTCGTTTCGACCACGACCACGACCACGACGACGACGACGACGACGACGACGATGATGCAATGGCTGAATGCCGGCAAGGTGGCACCCGGCCACCACCACATGCGCATGGGAGAGGAGAGTCGGGAAAGCTGCAGTGCACTGCCGCCGTCACCTCTCCCGACCAAGTGTCGGTGTGTGTGTGTGTGTTTGCTCGGCCAGAGTGCAGTTACCTCTGCTTGGACTGCCGCTGGATGGGTGTGTGGGTGGGGTGGCCAGCCTCCTGCAGTGGGTAGGCCTTTGGCCGGGAGTATCGTCATCGCTGCGTCATCCTCCCCATTGCAGTCAACCCATGCAACGCCGTGCCCGTGCCGGAATTCGTGTGCGTGGCCTGGTTTCGTTGATTGGCCTTGGGTGCGGCTTTCAGTGTCAGTGTCAGGGGTGCAGCATCTTTGTTTTGGTTGCAGCTGTGCTTACTGCCTCCGCCCCCTGCTCCAGCACCGACCCCAGGCCGCAGATGTTCTGCTCGAGTACTCCGGCAAATGCAAATCTGAGGGGCAGACACACATACAGAGACTCCCCCACTTACACGAGTGCGAGTCCTGTGAATGGAGGGCACACACATTTCATGGACTAATGGGGGAAATGGTGGAGTCATGCTTTTGGCGCTACATGTGTGGAGTGATGGAAATATTTCAAGATATAATCTTAACTTTTTTAATTAAAAGTGAAAATTCTCTCGGAAATGTGTTTGCAGCAAGGCCGCGTTGCGGGTATCGCTAGCCAGCTGATGGGTCTTGTGCTTGGGCTGACAAGCACCGCGCACCCGCCGATAGCCCCGACGGCAAACGCATTTCGGATCGTAGCAGTACTGTGCCGCCGGACAGAAGCTGCCTGCTGTGCACTGGACAAGCATGCAGCTGACGACTTCGTCGCGTCCGCAGGAGACACCCACAACATCGTATTGGTCATCTGGGAAAAGTAAGACAATGGATAAAGCATTCACTGTATCCGAGCTTGAGTCACAGTAGTTACCCCTCTGAGCAGCAACCACGCTGCAGAGGCATGAAGCCAGAAATAGACAGAGAAAGCGCATGGTGTCACTGCGGGGAACGCGTTGTTTGGAACAATTTAACCGTACCATAACTGATATAACAGCAATGCATGAATCAATGCATGGGAAAGATAAGCATATTCAGAAGATTATCGAAGAATATGTGAAGCCACTTTCCAAACGCCACTTCTTATATTGCTGTACATTATAAACCTCTTCTCTTTACTCTGATCGTGCATGTCCATGCATATCCATTTTTGTATGCAAGTCGACGCAGGTAGAACAAATTGCAAATAAAACGGTTATTAGCTAGATGTACCAATGTAAGGTGAGGCACTTGCAAAAAGCTTTCTCACAATAAGTTTGTGTTTGTGTGTGCTGCCGTCGCGACAGCTGCCTGGCGTACAACCAAAAGAGAGTGAGAGAACGGTACCTTACCTTGCATGTGCAAAGCTTGGATTCGTACTATGAAAGAGCGCGCTAGTTGTTTTCTTTTTCTCTCTGGCGCTATTCTCGCTGTCTCTTCTCGTTTCTGTCACTCACCCACCCACCAACCCCCACTCCTCACTCTTTCTCTTTCACACACAGCCTCGTCAACAAAGTTAGACAAACTAACACAATCATATGGCAAGTGCCGAAGGTTCTGTCTCGTGCTGTGCACGAGGAGCGCTTTTGTGGGCTTACCCTGGGGGCGGCCGGGCAGTATAACTTGAAGCGTACAAACGGCATGGCATGGCATGGCTGGGCATGTCGTCGGGTCGGGTCGGGTCATCAGTAGTGAACTTGCGCCACACGCCGATAGGTGGCCAGTCGTGGATGCGGCAGCCAGAGACGGAGTGGGAGTCCATGTCCGTGCATGGTGCATGTGCTGTGCATGTGTGCGCCACATAGACGAGGTACGTGTATAGTAGTGGCATCCAGCCGGCTCCTCCAATACATATTTTTTGCCGCGCCTCCCCACCACACTGCCGTAGCCACACTGAATCATGGATTCCCTTGAGGGGCGTGTGTTTTTGTGGGCGAACGGGGCGACATGCTGCGAAAACAAAAAACACCGCACTGCCATAACGGAACACTGCAATTGGCTGCAGTTTCGCTGTGCCGTAGCAGCCAGACAGCCGATCGGCTGCGGTCGACGTTTGCATCGACTGCGGATGCAGCTGCGGTTGCAGCTGCGGCTCTTCCTTTGTCCGTGTGTCGGTGGACGGACGGACCTCTCTTTATTGTGTCACGGGTTCGTTCGCGTGCGTTCTCCATCTCGGAGATGGAAAACGGGAAAAATGCCGCGTTACCAAGTGAAAGTCCTCTGTGGGGCACAAATAACTTACCGAAAAATTATTTAAACATGACTTCGGCGGCGTGCTCCGGCACGGAGCTGTGTCGGTATGTAAGTGCGTGTGGGTACCGTTACTCAATTAAACACGGCACTAATTTGCGTACTTGGAGAAAATCGATACGGGGGAGCCATTTCATTGACTGCTGCCTGACTCACACATTCGACTTCAAGGATTCCCCTACAGGCGGATGCCAAAGGAGCTCCGCGGTATCCTCTAATCTGAGTCGATTCACAAATTCGTTAAACATTAACAAACACGGATCAGCCCTAACCTAATCTTCATGTAGCGACACACTAACTCGTCATGGCTGTGGCTGTGCCTCCGCCTAAACCCTCTGCCCTCTGACCCGCTGCCTCCACCAACTATCAATATTCCCTTCCCATCCACTCCTTCCCCTTGTCCATTGTTGTGGCCCTCTCATTTTTCTCTTTCCGATGTAGCGCGCAGGATTGGCGCTCTTTTTTTTTGTATCGTCGCGACGCTTCTCACGGTCTTGGTCCTGCCACATGTTTAGACGTCTCTGTGTGTGTGGCAGTGGGGGGTGTGTGAACAGCGCTGTTTTCACTTTTCATGCGAATTTTCAGCTAAGCTTAAATGGTACTCCTGTCGTTTGCCATTTCGGGAGAGAAGGAGAATTCGTTCAGAGTAAAAATCTTTGAATTAGATAAATAATAGTATTATTAGCGAATGCTTTAGAAAATAAATTAATATTCATATCTTATATTCTATTGGGAGGGAGATCAATCGTTTATACCATATCTATAATTCTCAGTCATTATATCCATCGAATTAGTAAATCTTTGCATATTTTTCTTAGAGCTTTCAGTGGAGTATAATATCGCTAATAATTTCGGAAGCTGCCAGAATACTCTCTGCTGCAATCCTCTCAACTGATTCAATGTTGTACAGAGACCTATACGATCCCTTGCTATATGCAATAAATATGTACCCAAATCACACCTTAATCTAGTAACGCTTCGCCACAATCTTTACTAACAAATTTCTCTTTGCAGTTTCCCGGTTTTCCAAGACATAAACATCCAATCTCCCACGTATACCCCCCTGAGCGATCAGCAGAGAGCTGAGCAACGAGTGAAATATGAACTTCACACCCTTTGGGAACAACTTTCCCGGCAATATCCCCGGTCTGCCGCAGTTCACAACCAGCACGGCGCCCCTCGTCTCCTCACTAACCGCCGCCGTGGCTGATGTGACGGTGACGGCCACCAATAATCCGCAGCAACAGCAGCAGCAGGATGCCGGCGGCGGGAGCACACGCTACCAGCAGCAACAGTCCGCCACCACAGTGGGCATGACGCACTTCAGCCAGCCGTCCATGTCGGCGGGGCAGAGTGGCGGCGCAGGCGCGGTCAGCAGCAAGTTTCGCAGCGGACAGGAGGAGGGCATGCAGGGCGACAAGTACAATGGGCATCTGGTGTCCACAGCGCAGCAGCAACAGCAACAGCAGCAGCCGCAGTATGCCACAGTGGCGTATGCCAGTGCGACGGCAACGAGTGGGTCCGCCGATGCGCTGCAGGCAGGCACCTCCAGCCAGGCACAGCAGCAGCAGCAACAACAACAGCAGATGCAGCAGCAACAGGTTGCGGCGCCGCAGGAACTCACACAGGATCTGTGCAATGCCATTCTGCAGCAGCAAGGTGAGTCTCGAAGGCAATCTTTGTGTCCAATCTAATGCAAATCATCTCCAATTTTAGTGCTCCAAAACACCTCCTGGCAAACGCTTACGCCGGGCACCACCGTCGCCGATTACCTCTCTCATCTTCCGGCCAACACGCTGCCCCTGTCGCTGCATCACTTCCTCAAGTACTCCGCGGAGACGATCAAGAAGGAGAACCAGCAGAATGTGGTGAGTGGACATGAGCTTAGGCATAATACATCCATCCATAATCCGTTGGCTCTTCTGTAGGTGCTGCAGGTGCAAACGGGACCAGCCATAGGCATCAATACCATTGGCACCACAACCATTAGCATACCTCAGCAGGATCAGCTGACGATGCAGCAGCAGCAGGCGACGTTGCAGGTGCAGGCACAGGCGCAAACGCAGGCGGCAGTGGCTTCCACTTCGACGGCGACAGGCGTCGTTGCCACCACCAGCAGCGGCACCAAGAAAAAGAAACGCAAAAAGCGAAACAAGGACCGCAAGCCCAAGCTGCGTCCGGGCGAGATACGACTTGGCACAGCGCTGGACGGCAGCCCGCTGTACATGTGTCCCGAGTGTCATGTGGCCTATCCGGAGCCGGAGCTGCTCGAGGTGCATCTGGTGGGGCACAACCTGGAGAAGCGTTACGTGTGCGATGTGTGCCAGGCGTCGCTGAAGCGCAAGGATCACCTCACGCGCCACAAGCAATCGCACAATCCAGAGCGGCCCTACATCTGCACCGTCTGCCTGAAAGCCTTCAAGCGCAAGGAGCAACTGAGTCTGCACTTTGTCATCCACTCGGGCGAGAAGCGGCACCAGTGCCAGGAGTGCGGCAAGGGCTTCTATCGCAAGGATCACCTGCGCAAGCACACACGCAGCCACATAGCGCGCCGTGTCAAGGCCGAGCTGAACAGCCATGTGCGGCGCGAGAACGGCACCAGCATGCTCCAGCCAGTGGTGACGGAGGCAACCACTGCCGCGCTGCAGCATGCCAATCAGCTGGCCAGCCAGCAGCAACAGTTGCAACAGCAGCAGCAACAGCAGCAACAACAACAACAGCAGCAGCAGCAGCAGCACCACATCGTGATCACCCAGCAACAGCAGCAACAGCAACAGCAACAGCAGCAACAGCAGCAGGCACCTCAGGTGCAGCAGCAACAGCAGCAAATGCTAAATTAGCCAAATGATTTTTGTAAAGTCAGTTAAGCAAAATTCAATTCCGCCACACAGGCAGCCGCCAGCAGACACAAACACAGCTGCTGGTGGCTGACCCAAAAAACGCAACTCTCTCGGTCCACACAATTTAATTGACTCCGCAAATCGGATAGAACTCACTGACGATATCAGCAGGTTCGCTAGCAAATATCTCGGGAGCTACCACTCCAAGGCAGCTCCCAATGTTGTACAATTTTAAAGGTAAGCCACACAGAAACACACACAACCCACACACCCGACGACAGTTGGGACCGTCTACGAATCTACGCGACTAAAATTTGTTTCAGAACCAAAGAGAATCGAAAGGAATACGGAATTCAATTCTGTTAGGAACTCGTTTCAATAATCTCTCATAATGGTTTACCCAATCAAAATCCCAATCTCTATGCCCACAATCTGTTCTTCAGCTTTTGCCATTCCAAAATCGATCTTTATAGGCAGAGTTATAGAAATCTCTCTAGCTGTCATCTAGCAGTGTTGTCGGTCCCAGACGTTTGTCTGCTCCCCAAAGAAAAAATAGCAAACATTCCATAGAACATACTTTAAGCGAAACTGTGCAAAGGAATAATAGTTTTGTAAGCGAAGTATTTTAGTGAAATGTATTTTTGTACAAATAGAAACTTGTATCGTATCCACACAACACACACGAAATGTCAAATGCGCATACGTTTAGGTATATTTATATATCCGAGTATATGTACATATATTTATATATAAGCTAAGCGATTGCAATTTAGGTTTACACTTTGCATCTAGGGTACGGAATCAGATATTGTGAATTGTATGTTTAACTTTTGCTACACCGAACAAAGGAAACCAAAATAACAAGTGTAAAAATGAAGTAAACAATATAATTTGATCTTAAACTTATAGTAATTTGTTCATTCTATAACATATCTGGGTTTTGCTTATAATTTGGTGAGATTTTATTGAGTTAACTGAAATTTAAGGCTGATTTAAAATCATTAGAGATCATTCCTTAATTGGAAGAGGTTTTATAAGGATTTAAAAAATATTCCCATGAGGTTCTTTAAGACGAGAGAGATGGTTCATCTCGACTTTAATGGTTGGACATGGAGAGTCTGTCTATATTCCAAGCGCCTCTCCCTAGGAGTAAAGTGATGCCAAAGTAATTCCCCCAAAAGGTTTCTCCCCCCCGACACCGCTAAACAGTTTTTCTATGGTTATTAACTTTATTTTAGAGTACTCATCATTTATGATTATTATGCACCATTTATTATTATTATTATTATTTATATTATTATAATCAATTAAGTAAATTTAAACACTAGCATTAATGTGTATTCTGTATGTCTGTTTTTTGTTCCTTTTTTTCGTATGTTTTGCATGCTTTAAGGTTTATGTTCGATACACGAAACTAAACTTAGCTTTTAAATGTATAATAGATTTATGTATGAATTACAAGTTAGGCATTAATTATATGTGGGAAAGGAGAGGGGCAGGATTGAGACGCACACTCGTTCGTGTTAGAAAAACGGGAGACAGGGTAGGGGTTCGGGCTCGAAGCTTAATTTGTGCATCTGTACAGATTCAACTGCAGATTCGTTGATGAATGATTACCAAATATATGTCTAATATATACATACATATATTAGTATAGTGTATGTGTTGCCCGCGCTATCCTCAACGTTTAATTTATGTGTCGATCGATCGTCGAATCAGAATTGTAGATATTTTTTTACTGCGTGTTTTGGTTTTTTGGTAGGTTTTTTCTTGTGTGTTCGTTTTCGTTGCGAAAAGAACTGTTAAATCACTGTACAAAGAACGAACGTGGCTCCATTTATGGCCCACAGAGATACTTTCGCTTCTGGTCCTCCATGTAGTCACTTGTCGACATTTGTATGGCCCGCTGTAGCATTTCGCTCTCGTTACGCCCTGCCGCAGCAAGAAGGATTTGATTATGACGGAACAGAAATCTCTTTTCGGAACTCACCATCATTGGCAAGCGAAGCCTCGAGCAGTTCCTGATAGATATTCGACGTTGGAGCATCACCGCGCTTTTGCGGCGAGTGCGAGGACTGCTTCGATGTGCACGGCTGCTGTTCAGCCTCTGGGGTGATGGCACGTGCTGCAGATGGGACAGCATCACGCTTGGGACTTTTGCGTAGCGGAGCCTCAATAGCCTCGCCACTGCAGATGGATAAATATTACACACAAAAACGACCAGAAATATCTTCTTTTACACACCTTTTGGCCGACATCGTTCCCTCGCGAGTTTCGTGGCGGCGCTTCTTGCGCAACGTTGTGCGGCGCTGTGACTTGGAGGCTTTGCTCGAGCGCTGTGCGGCTGCGGTGCTGGGCGAGGCATTGCCGCCGCAGTGCCCCACCGAGCTGGTGCTGCTCATGTCTGTAGCATCGCTCTCGTAGCCGCCCAAATCGCCGACATCTGGCGGCAGCTTGTGTCCGAATTGTGTAAGCGTTTTGGGTGACATCGAAAACATTGAGGATGTGCCAGCAGCACCGCTGACGCTGGCCAAAGTTGCAGCCGCAATGCCACCGCTGCCGCTGCTGCCGCCGCACGAGTACTTGGAGGGCGAGGCGTCCGAGTCGGTGAGTGCCTCAGCCGAGGTAACTGTCGAGGATGTGGCCGAACCGCCGGCTGTGTTGCTGCTGCGCGAGCGTTGCATATTGTCGCGACACCACTGTAGGTAGGACTCGCGTGCAATTTGCTCCTCAATGGCCTCATTGGTGGCCTCCCAGTCTGTGGTCTTTAGCTTGTCCTCAAACATTGTCTGCAGGTGGAATGTTGGCACTTAACATCGGTTCATTGGATGTTAGCAGGACGACTCACCTGCTCGATCTCCAGCTGCTCACTGAGACGCAAAGCCTCTTTGGTTTGCACCTGGGGCTTGTAGCCAGCCAAGCCCAGGCCCACGCCAACGCTGGCGTTGTAAGGATCCAAAATGGCATTATAGTGAGAGCCACGCTGATACGATAAGCGAAGCGGAGGATAACCAGCCTGCGATTGCTCCGAATTGAAGATATTTATTGGTGCTGAAATGTGAGAAATATTTGTAGAAAAAGGCAACACCCCGCTGTGGCTGTTGAGCAACTTACTAGCCTGATAGCAGTAGACCTCGACGGTGCGACTATAGATCTCGGATATGGCCTGGATCTCAATGTGATTGCCGTGAGCATCGCGTGCGCGCTTGCGTTGGATGTAGCTGCTGATGTCCTCGGTGACAAATTGCCCAAAGTACTCACGATTCTCGTGCTGCAATGGGGAAACAGATAACAATTAGACAGCAGCTAAAAGAGCAGCGTGCTGCCATCATTACAATGTAGTCCATGGTGTGCTGGCGTATGACATCGTGCATGCCCTCATCGCCGAAGATCTGCAGCGAGATGGAACGAAAGAGGCAGGCACCGTCCTCCTCGACGGGCCTCAGTTCGTAGCCGTTCTCTTCCATGCACTTGGCAAACTCCACATCGCGTCGCTGCCACTCCTCGACTGGTATCTTGCGCTCCTTTGGCTGCAGATGCTCGTCGCCGCTGTTGTAACCGGAAAAGGTATCCTCCGCAATCTTGGTTAGATTAGCAGCCACAGTGGTTGGCGGTATTTGTCCCAGCGTTGTTGGCACATTGGCACAGCCCATGCCCAGATGTTCCGGCGATGTGCGACCCACTGCCGAAGGGCTGCTGCTGCCAGACGATGTAGGCAGGGGTGGACTGCTGCACTTGCTGCCAGCCACGCCAGGCACGCTGCCGGGCACCACGGCCGGATGGATGAGTTTCTCGCGCTCCAAGCGGTCGCGCTTGTGATGATGCGCATGACTGTCGTGATGGTCGCGACGCTTCGAGCGTGTGCTGCTTTAAAAACAAAAGAAAATGGATACAAATTAATGAAGCTATCACCAGGCAAGTCCATTTAGAGCCCAGCATTTGCCTTAGCCCAAAATAAGTACAAATTTCCCTTGGTGTATGCTGCTGGCTCTCCTGTATAACGCCCTAGAAATCATGTGGCAGGCAGGGGTTGCACCCTACAATGCAGGTGCCACCCAGCCAAAGGAATGTGCGCTGAAAATCCATCACCTACTCACCTCTTGTGTGGGCTGCAGCGGTGAGTGCGTGCCAACTCGTCGTAGACCTCCCCGCGTCGCTGAGGACTCTGCAAAAAACACAGAAAATTTACTTAAATTGGAGCAGAGTTGGGGTGGTTGGGCCGTGCTCTTACCTGCCCGTGGCCATCGATGACGACATTGCGGTGCGTTTGATTAACCACCGACTGCTCGACCACCACCTGTCCGGTTGCGTGCGCCTCCTTGTTGTCCGCATCCACGACGTTGCCAGCCACGCGTTTCGCGCTGGGTGCGCTTACTGGCTTGATCGTCATGGCTCTGCTGCAGTTTCCCTTACCCCTTGCTCTATTTTCGTCTTTGTTGGTGGTGTGGCAGAGCAAGTTATGCAGCAAATGCGAGAATTGCAAGACAAGTGCACGATGCGAGGCTTCTCTAGGGCATAAATGACGCTGCGGCGTGTAGCTTGAGCCCTCGAGCAGTGCCTCTTTCGTTTATTAAGTGCGTATTTCACGGCTGCTCTTGTGTTCTTTGTCCGAAGATGTCGTCGTAGTTAAGGAAGGCCGCCAGGGCTCTCTCTCTCTTTGAAGCTTGCTTATGTTTGTATATAAAAATCGCTTTCACCGGTTGCCTGTGTTTCCTTTTATGTTTCTGAAATATATTTCAAAGGCCACATAACGTCAACTGTTTGAACTATAAAATAATCAAATTTTCCAGATTTTCATATTCGCCTGTCTGTGTGTGTTCGTGCGCTCGCGTATGTGTGCGCGTTTGTGTCTATGTGCTGTGTTTGCTGTGGCTCGCCTCACCCTTTGCTTTGTCGTGTCTGAACAGCTCTTGAAACAATTGACGGAATACCTTACCGTTTACAAGAGTTTTTTTTGTTTAAATTTTACAATATCATCGAGTGTGTTCGTTTCGTTTCATGGAATTTAAGATGTTATTTATCATATAACCAGTGTGACCGCGGATTATCAATAAATACCATCTGACCATTAGTATACTTTCTCATTTTCAGAATATACCGTATATATTCGGTGGAGAAAACGAGGATGAAAAGCACACCTGCCCGCGCTCGACACAAACAATTTAAAAACATGAGTTAAACCGCGGAAAATAATGCTGATTGTATGTGCTAACAATACACAGAGGTCTGCGGTACCCTTCAGGTGAGCTGTGTTACAAATATTAAAATTGCATACTTCTATTTCGCTTATAAATACACACTGTAAATCGCATTCCTCAATTTTGATTTTCTGCTTAGCATTACTAGCCATCTAGGACCCAGAGCACTTAAGATATGCTTTTACCCGATTGACTAATCAATTCTCTACAAGATAGGAGCATTAATTGAATTGTTTATTAAATAAGGTATATTATCATTGAGGCGTTGGGTAAGAAAAGGGTAAAACGCACACAAAAATGCCAAAATATCTTGGTATTTTTGTGCGAGAAATGGGATTTTGTTAGTATGCCAATAACTCCGATAGAGTGCGCCACATACCGATTTAATATTGGAATTTCTTTGGAAAAAACGTTTTTATTTCTGTTTCCGCTTTGAGGCTCCTTCCCATTTAATTCAAATTTCCAATCAACAATTCGGATTTTGCTGTAGATTTCCAGTGCTTGCTTTGCGTGAGTGACGCCCCGAATCTCGAATCAGGTTTTAGTGATTGACGCCCAAAACAGTTGTTCAAATATTTGTGGCTATAGAACATACAATACTTTATGCAAAAAAAACATATTTAACACCCAAAAATGCTGATTTGCTTTTAGTCTGCATTCCAAAGTAAAATGAAGCAGGTTGCTATTCTCTTTATTTTCGCTCTGCTGGCGATGGCGATCGCATCTGCCACGGCCACCGCATCTGCAACCACTACGGAGGAGCCGATGCCGCTGCAACCAGCGAAGCTATCAAAAATCCAATGGATTGATTTGATTCAATTAATTCGAAATACTAGCAGCGATGGCAAGAAGTTTTACTTTTTCTTCTAGACGTTATTCCAAGTGGAGTTCACGCAGAAATAGCTAACATTAAATGAGTTTTTTTTCTAAAATTCGAATCAAATGGCTTTGCTTTTATATTTGGGTAAAATTTGATTGTTATAAATGGGAGGCATGTAAATATATAAGACAACAAATGTGCCTTTATTTTGTCCTCTGAATTTGTATTTCTTTACGAACTGTTAGCGCGATTTTGTGCTGGCCTTTAGTTACTCTGTAAATCAATAAGAAAAAATATTCAAATAATAAGGAAAACATGAACATGATAATCACCGACCAAGAAAGAAACAGAATAAAGCTGTAAAGCAAATCAAAAAAATCATTCTGGCTGCTCCATGGCTGCAGAAGTGTTGAGGGTTTTGAGGCAACATCTGGGATGTTGCTCCCACAAGGCAGCTCCCCATCGTTTAAACTAGATAGTTCCAAACATATCTCCCCAAACACTAATAAAAACTCAATAAGTTAATATTCGAATGCATATATATTTGACAATCGTTAAAGTCAATCATTTAATTGAAAGTCTGTAGCCGTGCGGTGCCTAAAGTTAAGCTCTCTTTATGCGGTCCACGACTTTTGATAACGATTATTCCATCCACCCCAACCGCTTCCATAAGGACGCCAGCCGTACCTCCAGTTAGGACGTGCTCCAACCCAACGCCTGTTGCCCCACCAATATTGTCCGGGGTACTGTCCGGTGGCCTGCTGTGCGCCAGCTTGGTCTGTGGTTTCATCGCCGGAACCCGACTCCTGCACATTCGTCGCGTCTTCGGAGTTATCTTCAGATGCTACAGCATCATCGGCGTTTTCGGTGTCGTTCTCATTTGCGTCTGATGAGGTTTCAGTCCATGTTCGAGAGCCTTGAGCTCCATTCAGACCGCTGCGGCCTCGGCCATACCTGGAACGGTAGTTGGCGGCGCCTGTTACGTCAGAGCTATCGCCAGAGAAACGTGAACGCTGAGACCAAGCATTTGAGCCGCGAGATCCAATGCCCCTGCCGTAGGTTTCATCTTCCGGCAGTGAGCCTGGCGTCACCTTTTTGACGAGTTTAGACCATGGGTTGGATCCGCCATCTATTGAAGACGAAGCATCAACGATTGTTGGTTGGTTCTGAGTGATCTGAGTTGTGGAGCGCTTGGACCAAGAGTTTCGTGCACCTGAACCGGACCTGCCGGTCATTGATCCTGAAATTGGAAGCTCATAAGTCTGACCACCATTCAATATTTTGTTGGCTGAAGTTGACCAGGTGTAGGATCTTCGGGGCTTGGGTACCTTCAAGGAATTCGTTGTATAGGTAGTTGTAGTTCTGCTTGTCTTTCTATTCGATTTTGGAGCAGCCGACGATGATGTGGCTGCACTTCCGCTAGACGCAGACTCTTCGAGTATCTCGGGAACACTTGAGGAACCTGAGGAATAAGTCTTTGTAGTTTTGCTGGTGGTTGAGCTTGACTTTCGGTTCTTCTTAGGGATCTTCGAGTACTTTGAAGTGTATGTCTTTGTTGTTTTGCTAGACGATGAGCTGGATTTTCCACCATTAACAACAGTGCTTCCCTCACTGGCATCTACAACAGGTTTACCATTGATTGTTGTTGTTGTGACGGTTGTTTTAGTTGTCGAAGATTTTTTCGAGCCTCCGCTACCCTTAGTGGTGCTTGATTTGATGACTTTGACAACAGGCTTCGACGAGGAGCTTGTCTGAGTATTTCTATCGGAAGATGTCGTGACTGTTGTTGTGGTGGAAGAGCTACTTGAGCTACCACCGCTGTTGCTTGTGTTACCATTGACAACAGGGTCAGACGAGGAGTTTGACTTATCCTGTCCGTCGTTCGAAGTGGTGGTTGTTGTCGTTGTTGAAGAGGAAGAGGACTGATTCGAGTCTCCACCCTCAACGGTGGTGCTGGACTCGCTGGCTTCGACAGCAGGCACGAACACTACTGATCCATCATCGGAAGTTGTGGTGGTTGTTGTCGTTGTTGAAGAGGAAGAGGACTGATTCGAGTCTCCACCCTCAACGTTGCCGCTGGACTCAGCGGTTTCGACAGCAGGCTCAGACACTACGGTTCCATCGTTGGATGTTGTGGAAGTTGTTGTTGTTGTTGAAGAGGACTGATTCGAGTCTCCACCCTCAACGGTGCTGCTGGACTCGCTGGCTTCGACAGCAGGCACGGACACTACTGATCCATCATCGGAAGATGTGGTGGTTGTTGTCGTTGTTGAAGAGGAAGAGGACTGATTCGAGTCTCCACCCTCAACGGTGCTGCTGGACTCGCTGGCCTCGACAATGGGATCGGAAGCTACGGTTCCTTCATCGGAAGTTGTGGTGGTTGTTGTCGTTGTTGAAGAGGAAGAGGACTGATTCGAGTCTCCACCCTCAACGGTGCTGCTGGACTCGCTGGCTTCGACAGCAGGCTCAGACACTACTGNAGCGGGTCGATTCCAGTCTCCACCCTCAACGGTGCTGCTGGACTCGCTGGCATCGACAATGGGATCGGAAGCTACGGTTCCATCATCGGAAGTTGTGGTGGTTGTTGTCGTTGTTGAAGAGGAAGAGGACTGATTCGAGTCTCCACCCTCAACGGTGCTGCTGGACTCGCTGGCATCGACAATGGGATCGGAAGCTACGGTTCCATCATCGGAAGTTGTGGTGGTTGTTGTCGTTGTTGAAGAGGAAGAGGACTGATTCGAGTCTCCACCCTCAACGGTGCTGCTGGACTCGCTGGCATCGACAATGGGATCGGAAGCTACGGTTCCATCATCGGAAGTTGTGGTGGTTGTTGTCGTTGTTGAAGAGGAAGAGGACTGATTCGAGTCTCCACCCTCAACGGTGCTGCTGGACTCGCTGGCTTCGACAGCAGGCTCAGACACTACGGTTCCATCGTTGGATGTTGTGGAAGTTGTTGTTGTTGTTGAAGAGGACTGATTCGAGTCTCCACCCTCAACGGTGCTGCTGGACTCGCTGGCCTCGACAATGGGATCGGAAGCTACGGTTCCTTCATCGGAAGTTGTGGTGGTTGTTGTCGTTGTTGAAGAGGAAGAGGACTGATTCGAGTCTCCACCCTCAACGGTGCTGCTGGACTCGCTGGCTTCGACTGCAGGCACGGACACTACTGATCCATCATCGGAAGTTGTGGTGGTTGTTGTCGTTGTTGAAGAGGAAGAGGACTGATTCGAGTCTCCACCCTCAACGGTGCTGCTGGACTCGCTGGCTTCGACAGCAGGCACGGACACTACTGATCCATCATCGGAAGATGTGGTGGTTGTTGTCGTTGTTGAAGAGGAAGAGGACTGATTCGAGTCTCCACCCTCAACGGTGCTGCTGGACTCGCTGGCTTCGACAGCAGGCACGGACACTACTGATCCATCATCGGAAGATGTGGTGGTTGTTGTCGTTGAGGAAGAGGACTGATTCGAGTCTCCACCCTCAACGGTGCTGCTGGACTCGCTGGCTTCGACAGCAGGCACGGACACTACTGATCCATCATCGGAAGATGTGGTGGTTGTTGTCGTTGTTGAAGAGGAAGAGGACTGATTCGAGTCTCCACCCTCAACGGTGCTGCTGGACTCGCTGGCTTCGACAGCAGGCACGGACACTACTGATCCATCATCGGAAGATGTGGTGGTTGTTGTCGTTGTTGAAGAGGAAGAGGACTGATTCGAGTCTCCACCCTCAACGGTGCTGCTGGACTCGCTGGCTTCGACAGCAGGCACGGACACTACTGATCCATCATCGGAAGATGTGGTGGTTGTTGTCGTTGTTGAAGAGGAAGAGGACTGATTCGAGTCTCCACCCTCAACGGTGCTGCTGGACTCGCTGGCTTCGACAGCAGGCACGGACACTACTGATCCATCATCGGAAGATGTGGTGGTTGTTGTCGTTGTTGAAGAGGAAGAGGACTG